GCAGGCAATATTAACTGAAGCATCTCGTCTGCTGACAGAAATCACAATTCATGGACACTTGACTAAACGTTGGTGGTACACTCCAGAACTACCACTGTTAACTCTGCCCTGGCTTCCGTGTGATACACTATCGTAGTTTGTGTACGCGGAAGTTAGACCGTACAGCTACGCCATTGATTGAATGACCGAATCTCTATTTGTTTAAGTTCGTGTATTAACTTCAACTCGTGTGAGTTAAGGTATCAACAACTGATATTTGACCTACTGTCTTTGTTCTACACTGGTCGGCATATGCAGTTGATTTGGTTATGGCGTGGCTCAGCTTATCTTGTTCTTAGCGTGAGATTACATTATCGATCGCTCATACCCGCTTAAGTGTTTAGGAAGAGTGACTGACTCATACGTTTCTTGTGTGAATTGTGCGTGTAAACCTTTAACTATATCAACTTACCTTGGATTTGAGTGAAGTTATCCTGTATCGTTAATATCATACTATTTCCTTACTTGATGCACTTTTCTGTATGAATATTGTAGATTGTACTCAAAAGGACGCTGTTCGGCGGCTGTACATAAAACTCAGATACTTGATCAGGACATTCTTACTACCTGCAGATGTTGGTCTGTCATTAACCCTCGCTAGGACTTCTTCTCTTCTTTATTTTTTATACGAAAATATTCAATTAAATGTTCAGATCCGTGTATGCCATTGTTTACATAGTGGAAACGCCTTCTGATGCGCCGTGATTTGTTATTTTGAGAAAAGGGCAATTTGTAGACACTTTACCCTACAGATATCCATCAAACCTGCTTTAAAATGGCGTTTCATTATCTCGGTGCAGTGAAGGTAATGCTGTCCTACATGAAGATTTATCCTTCCAGGCAGATCTTTGTGAGTGCCCGTCATTCGTATGGCATCTGTGACCGAGAGCTTCTGCTACTTATTTACATCTCCAAATTGCTACTTGCTCTTTGATTGACTGCTGGACCCAAGTTTGCTTAATCAAACTCTCAATCCTGATGAGATACCAACAAGACTAAGATAGAACTTTGGTAAACTTCCCAGGAGTCCTTCCATGGTTTACCACAACAGTGGAAAAAAGGAAAGCCTTATCAATATCATGTCTTTAAAGTAATTGGAAGTGAAATGAACATCCACGTTTTTATCCGTATTGTTCGAAGGGTACGTTAGTAGCCGATGCAGTAATCTGCGCGTCGAACGAGGCTTTAAAGGTTTTTGAATGGTTGGCGTGGTACAGACAATGTCGCTGTAGCAGTGAATCTTGGCTGACGTCAATCCAGCACCTTCGCATTCATCCACCAATTAATTTGCTAGGGGGCGGTAGCCAATCCCCAGGACGGATATGACAATGCGTCTGAGCCGAAGGTGAAGTCACGTGCGTAAAGTTACCCACACGCTTATTGGACAAGTAGTGGCCCAACGGCTGCGAACCGATTGGTTACAGATCAAATTGACGCAGTAATTGGTTATTTGATTAGTCGTTCTCGCTGCCATCAGGCCGCCACTTCCCTCATGGCGGAGGCAGGCGAACAGGCTTGTGGCGTGCGCAGAGGTTTGTAAGTTCTCGGGCTCATTGCTTCTTTCGGCGCTTCCCTCAACATTTATTTTCTCAAAGTTGCAAAAATTCCCATGCGATAATTCAGAACAAAATTTTGGCCAAAATTGTGTTCTGAATTTATTTTCTCGTGAATGTGACACATACGAAATAGTATGATGTTTTTGACCATTGCAAAACCGCTTTGGTCATTGAGTGGCTGATATTGCCTAACGATAGGAAAATTTGATCGATTTGGTTTTTCGAAATGCTGGCTTTCGCGCTTTATTACAGCGCCCTCTTAACTACAGTGATCTAGTGGAATGCCGAGTATTACTTTTTAAATGTCAATAACTTAATAGAGTCCAGAATATCTGATCAACTGTAACCATCCGTAATACATTCCCGTCGGATTAATAACAGAGAACATCAGAAGTCTGTGATGTGCTGGCGGTGTGTGAACCGTAGATGCGCGTGAGCAATTGATTGTCTGTGTGGTAGCTACTTTATTGCAACTTAAATGCCATTTGTGATGACACTGGTCTGTTCGTTAGAACACTCTTGCCTTTTGATT